CCCAAATGTGAACACTGATCGAGTTTGGGGAAAATAGACCTTGACATTTGGGAGTTGTAGTTGCTGGGATTTATAGTTGACCTACAATCAAAGAGCATTCTGAACTCTATCAGTGATTGAATTGAGCCAAACTCCCCACACAGAACCTCCATGACCAACAGAAAATACTGTGTTTTCTGATGGTCTTTGACGACTCCTCTGACACCCCCTCACAACCCCTCCAGGGGTCCCGACCCCCAGGTTGAGAAACACTGGTGTAGATGCACCCATGCATACTTTCTTTGGAGAGGTGCCCATTTTCTGTGACAAGAGGGTGCAGTGTGACAGAAGATGAGCGGTGACAATACGTCCTCTTATCTCTCTTCTTCTGCCAAAAGAGATGCAGAGCAGGGAGTGGGGAGGAAGAGATAAGCAGGTACACAATGCAAAGGAACTCCAACATGGAATTCATTTTCTCCACCTGCCATTTAGGATTCGGGTCTTTTTGCTATTGTTATGCATTCTGCATGCTTTGCAGATGAGTGCTTTGCAATCTAGGACAATAAGTCAGAGTCGGTTCGTCTGTCATAACACTGAAAGGAGGATTTGTGCAACAAGTTGGCAGGAGATTTAGGACAGATGAAATAAAATATTCTTTCTTTTTTTGGACAGGCGGATAATTAGCTTTGCTGCCACAGGAAATGGCACGGGCCAGCGGCTGCAAAATTCGCCAGTATTTTCATGGAGAGCATCTTTGCGTATGGTAATAGTGTTCAACGGTCAGTATTATATTGATACTGCTATATAATCCAGTTTGTGGATGCAGATTAAGTGCATTGACCTGGATTATATGGCAGTGTAGACTTATATAGTCCAAAGTGGTTCAAGCTGCATAATATGAGTCTATACTGACCATTATAATGGAGTTCACCACAATTGAAAGGAGATGTTGACAAGCTGGAATGTGTCCAGAGGATGGCACCTAAAATGATCAAGGGTCTGGAGAACAAGCCCTATGAGGAGTGGCTTAAAGAGCTGGGCATGTTTAGCCTGAAGAAGAGAAGGCTGAGAGGAGACATGTTATACATATGTGAGATATACATATGTGAGGGGAAGTCATAGGGAGGAGGGAGCAAGCTTGTTTTCTGCTGCCCTGAAGACTAGGATGTGGAACAATGGCTTCAAACTACAAGAAAGGAGATTCTGAGGTTGTTGCTGTTGTTGTTATTTATATCCTGCTTTTTCTCTCTTAAAAAAGACACAAAGTTTTAGCTGCAGGCAGCGATGGTCCGCAGTTGTTAGGCCAACATAGCAAAATGAGACCTCCCCATTCAGAGGCAGTTTACTTTGGACGTACATGCCCTTTTCTTGGGCTTCTGGGTCTCTCCAAACCCAACCTGTGCCTTGTTCCCTGACTTCTCCAAGATGGCAAAGGCTGCCTTGACCCCAAAAAGCTCTCCAAAAGGGATTGGCTTTGGTTCAGGTTTCTCCGCCGTCTTTTCCTTGAACTTGGAGCCGTCCAAAGGGAACAAACACATCTGCCGACTCCCAGTTTGGTGCCAACCGGCTGGGAGGTTTTGCCGCAGTCAACCCAGGAAAAAAATAATAACCGCTTGTTTTGGGCAGATTGACAAATTCCGAGCCTGACTTCTGCAAAGAGCCAGATTGAAATGTGGAAAAATCCAAGCAAGAACTTCTTCCCCTCCTTCAATCTGTGTCTCTTTCTTGGCACTGCTTTGCCCCGTTTATTTATAATAATAATAAAACTTTATTTGTAACCTGCCCAATCTCCCCGAGGGGACTCAGGGAGGATTCCAACAAACAAAAGGCAAACATTCAATGCCTTGACAAGACCATAAATTCAAAGACAAATACAATAACAACCCGACCACGTCCCAAAATAAACCAACATCTCCCGCCAAATTCAAACTTGCGACTGCAAATTAAATAGTTGCACAGCCTATCAAGTAACTTAACTCAACATAATACATCAACATAGACGTCAATTTACGGAGACACCAGAAGTTCATTTGAAGTAAAATTAAAAGGATAATTATGTCTCCGGTGATACAAACAAGCCAACGGTGCCTGTGTTGTATATCAGACTGTTCAGACTGTTTTGTTTTGGTCATATCAGGAGCGACTTGAGAAACTGCAAGTCGCTTCTGGTGTGAGAGAATTGGCCGTCCTCAAGGACCTTGCCCAGGGGATGCCAGGATGTTTTGATGTTTTATCATCCTTTTGGGAGGCTTCTCTCATGCCCCTGCATGAGGAGCTGGAGCTGACAGAGGGAGCTCATCTGCGCTCTCCCCGGATTCGCCTGTGATTGTGTCTAATGTTTGCGTTGATATTCATGATAAGAATGGGGATGATGTTCATGGTGATGCTCATGAAGGGAATGGGAATGTTGATCTGTTTCGTGGGTCTGGGTCTGTGGGATTTGGAGATGAAGGGTCGCTTGGGCCTGAATGGAGTTTAAAAGAGAGGCCTGACTTGCTGCAAGAGGATTCTCAATGTCCTGAGCTTGAGAAAGGTCTTTTGCCATGGTTCCCTGAGCAGTTATCTGAGAATGAATGTACCAGGTGCAAGAGTTAATGATGAGAGCAAGACCTTGAACAGGAAAAGAAATTTTAGTAAACAGAGGCAATTCAGGCAACAGTTAAGACACTCAGCTCGGATTCAACAGAAGATAAATAATAAATCAAAACTAAGAAAGAATGCGTTCTTAGCAGTTTTGGAGTCAGGGAAGAGTTTATGATGATTTGTGAGGGACAGTTGCTTCAGTTGAGGCAACGTCAGGATAATGCCAAGATTCATGCAGCAAGGTATGCTTATCTGCCTAGCTTATGCTCTGCCTATGGGATATGCTTTTTGTATTGCTCATGGATTCAAGTGCCTAGTTTCATGGATTTCCTTTGACTCTCTTTTCCTGTCTTCCTTTGTTCTGCTGAACTAAATTTGATTACTTTTACTGTGGATTACTTTTTACTGCTTTGGCTACATATTTTCCTAAAGAAACTGCTTGCCGATTTTACGCAGTTGGTGTGGTGTTTAAAGTCAGAGGCGATTCTGCTCTGGAGTACGACAGCCTGCAAAACAGAGTAGCAATAGTAATTTCATATCGGAGGTATTTTTGCTGTTTATGATCCTTTAATCCTCCTCTTCTCCATATGCCAAGGAGAAGACCCTTTCTCTCATTCCCACCAATTGTACTTTAGACAGGGGTGAGACTAAGAGCAGAGCCCCCTTTGCTGACCACAGTGTCTGAGCTGGTTTATAAGAGGCAGGCCCGTAGCCAGGATTTTGATTGGGGGGGGGACGTTTGATTCGGGGGGGGGGGGGCTGAGTCTGAGTGAAAGAGGGTCTACCCTAGCAAACCTTTTGTATCGTTACCCCAATACCCCCATGCATATGGGATATATTGAGTATGGTGATCAGATCATGATATGAATAAACATAACAGTTTAAATAATGCACCAGTAAGGCCTTCTCATGGACCACCATGAGAATTTCAGGGGGGGGGGGGCTGAAGTCCCCCTGGATACATGCCTGATAAGAGGAGATGCATTCAGTCAGATAGCCTGGGCTAAATAGTTTAGGGCTTTAATGGTAATTAATAACACTTTGTATTTAGCCCAGAATCAGACTGGCAGCCAGTGGAGCTGCCACAACATGGAAGTGGTTCTCTCCCTGTACAAAGCTCCAATTAGTAATCTAGCTGCCGATCTCAGTACCAGTTGAAACTTCCAAACTGTCTTCAAAGGCAGCCCCATGTAGAGAGCATTACAGGAATCCTTATTTTAGAGGGACTACTCGAGGCCGAATGAATGCTTTCATGCTTTGCTATCCTTAATTAGGGAAATAATAGCTTTTGGTTTTCAGATCAAGCAACGTAGCAGATAGAGCAAGGAACTCTTGCCTTGGTTCTCGCTTCAAGCCATGTCTTGGTCAAATTTTGCTTTAAGTCTTGGGGATTTTACCATGAACTCAAGCGCATGTATTGTTCTTTGATTCTTGGATTACGCAAGTTGATGTATTGTCGAAGGCTTTCATGGCTGGAATCACTCAGTTCTTGTGGGTTTTTTCGGGCTATATGGCCATGTTCTAGAGGCATTTCTCCTGACGTTTCGCCTGCATCTATGGCAAGCATCCTCAGAGGTGAGGTCACCTCTGAGGATGCTTGCTATAGATGCAGGCGAAACGTCAGGAGAAATGCCTCTAGAACATGGCCATATAGCCCGAAAAAACCCACAAGAACTGAGAGACTCAAGTTGATGTTTTATTCTTTGTCTTTTGGATTATCCAAGCTCATGATTTTACCCTGCTCCTTGGATTTATGTTCATACTTTAAGCGTTGCATTGGAAATTTATATCTGTCTTTGGAACTCCTTTTGTCTTACCGATTTGGATTTGATTTACTCTTTTACTGTTTGTGCTTTTTCAATAAACTGTTTATTCCTACTTTTGGCTTCCTGGTGAGTGCTTGAGCAAGGTGAACCCTACCTGAGGTGCAACACACCTGCATTTTAGGTGGATTAAGAATCAGCTGGTTTTCCCTGGAATAGGCAGGGGTTGTTTTTGTCGTTTCAGGAGTGACTTGAGAAACTGCAAGTCGCTTCTGGTGTGAGAGAATTGGCCGTCTGCAAGGACGTTGCCCAGGGGACACCCGGATGATTTGATGTTTTTATCATCCTTGTGGGAGGCTTCTCTCATGTCCCCGTATGAGGAGCAGGAGCTGATAGAGGGAGCTCATCCGCCTCTCCCCGGATTCGAACCTGCAACCTTTTGGTCTTCAGTCCTGCCGGCACAAGGGTTTAACCCACTGCGCCACCGGGGGCTCCGGAATAGGCCATAAGAGCACCTAAAGCTTTGGAGAGCTTCTATTCAACCATCTCAAACCAAAATAAAGTTGTTATTATATTATAATTCTAGAGTGTAGATGCACACCCTGCTGACAAGGATTCCGTATGTTAAATATGGATCATTGGGATTGATTTCCTCTCTTTCTTTCCTCTCCGCAGCGTGCCTCTTCCGGTTCAATGCCCTCTCCTTAGTCTACCTCCTCTACCTCCTCCTCTTGCCATGGTTCCTGGGCCCCACGGAATATACTATAAAAGGTAAGGCGTTTGCATTTTATGAGGGTTTTTTTATTCTACTGTATGAGAACAGAGAACGTGTCTTTTTAGACAGAAGAATGGGATTGGACTCAATGACCCTTCCAACTCAGTGATTCTATAAAGCTAAATGTGAGTCAACCATGTAATGCAGCATCTTTGAAAGTCAGTGGGGATTCGGAGTGTAGTAGACTCCTTCTGTAGAGGTTTTTAAGCAGAGTGGATGGACATCTTCTGGGAGGGCTTACGTTGGGTCTTCCTGCCTGGCAGAATAGGGTTGGGCTGGATGGCCTTTGGGTGGCCTTTCCAGCTTTATGATTCTATGAAGATATTGGTTTTGGAGGCTACAGCTCCTTGCATAAGGTCCTAGTAGTTCACCTTTGCTGCCAAGGCTGGAAATTTCCACCTGGATCCGTCCCAACTCAATGGTCAATCTCTCCTTTGGTACATAAATCTCAGCCTGTTGCCTCCAGGAGAGGGAAACTGGGCGACTGGGAAAAAGGACAGCTCACTTTTTCCTTTCTCGATTGGAGGAGTTGGAAAGGAGAAAGAGGGGAACGAAACAGGGAGAAATAAGACTTTTCCGACATCTGTCCTGTGGAGAGGCCAAAGAGAGAAGAAGAGCAATTCTTCCAAAAGGTCTTCTTTATTCTCCTCAGGGGCGGCTCAACCCATTACGCAAAGTAAGCATTTGCAGTATTGTTGATTTTGCCCAGGGGCGCTCTTGGGGGAAAATGGACCTTGACATATATGAGTTATAGTTACTGGGATGTATAGTTCACCTACAATCAAAGAGCATTCTGAACTCCACCAATGATGGAATTGAACCAAATATGGCACACAGAACTCCCACGACAAACAGAAAATATATATCAGTGATTGGTTGTGGGGGGGGGGGGGTGTGTGTGCCAAAATACTGTTTGCTTACCATTGAAAATTACCTAGGGCCGCCTCTGATTCTCCTCCCCACTTTTTTTTTAAAAAAACCTACAAATTGACTTTTTAGGTCCATGGCAGGAAGTTTAGCAGGCAAATTCATTATTATTATTATTATTATTATTATTATTATTATTATTATTATTAATCTTATTATTATTTATCCCCATGGAGAAGGGAGTCCTACTGTAACAACAACAACAACAATAACAACAACAATAACAATAATAATTGGACTAGGATTTTTAATAATAATAATTTATACCCCCCACGGAGTAGGGAATTTTGTTGTTGTTGTTGTTGTTGTTGTTGTTGTTAATGCACCACGGAGTAGGTAGTCTTACTGTTATTATTATTATTATTATTATTATTATTATTATTATTGGACTGAAAATTGACAAGGACAAAACATAACTGTGGCTTACAAATGGAACTGAGGAAAAAAGAGACGGAGGGCTTGATTCTTACAGTCCAAGAACAAGCCATTAGAATTAATGCCATCCAAGTCGGAATTGAAAAGTCGATGACAGATCCAAATGTAGACTCTGCAAGGAAGCAGACGAAACGATGGATATCATCCTCAGCTGCTTCAAGAAGATCGTGCAGACGGACTATAAACAGAGGCATAACATTCAGATGATCCATTAGAACTTTTGCCACGAATACCATCTGCCTGCGACAAAGAACTGGTGGGATCCCAGGAGACAGCAGAATTGACGAGAAACAACTGGAAAAGCTGGCACGATATGAGGATTTAAAGATTGAACTGCAAAGGCTCTGGCACAAGCCAGTCAAGGGGGTCCCAGTGATGATCGACACACTGGGCGCAGTGCCTAAAGACCTTGGCCTGCACTTAAAAACAATCGGCGCTGACAAAATCACCACCTGTCATCTGCAAAAGGCCACCCTACTCAGATCTGCACGCATTATTCGCCGATACATCACACAATCCTAGAGACTTGGGAAGTGTCCGACCTGTAATCAAATACAAAAGCCAGCATAGGGATCTTGTTTGCTATGAACTAATCTTGTTATGTAGCTAATAATAATAATAATAATAATAACAACAATCACCATTATCATCTCCCACGGAGTAAGGTGTCTTGTTCTTCATTCGTTCAGTCGTTTTTGACTCTTCGTGACTTCATGGACCAGCCCACGCCAGAGCTCCCTGTCGGTCGTCGCCACCCCCAGCTCCTTCAAGGGTGTCTTAGTTGTATTATTATTATTATTATTATTATTATTATTATTATTATTATTATTTATTACACCATGGAGAAAGGGGTCTTCCAGTAATAACAACTACAGTAATAAAAATATTTAAATGGCCAGAGTCATTAGCAGCAGATCCATTTATTCTTCAGTGTGGTATCCTGTGTGTTGATCGATGACGGATGATCACTCGAAGAAAGGCGGTTATAGGTAAGCAACCTAACCTTATACTCCATGGAGAAGGGGAACTTCCAATAACAACAACAATAAAAACAACAATAATACAAATATTTAAAAGGCCAGAGCCATTAGCAGCAGAGCCATTGGAACGGCCAGAAATTTGGAGCAGATGATGCCAGGGCTCAGTGGAGTACAATAGCAGGAGTTATAGATTTACAATGTCTTTCTCCTTTTCTGCCCAAGATTGCAAACTACAACTCCCGTGACTGCGTCGTGGCAGTTCAAGTGGGGTCAAGCTGCATTCCTTCTCCATTGTAGATGCACTCCTTCCTTCCTTCTCCTTCCTTCCTTCTCCTTCCTTCCAGGTTAAATATTCATTCCTTCTTGGCTGGAAAGCACTCATTCACAGCTATGAATAGGAGGAAGAGATGGGACTGAGGTTTTAATTGAGACCTACATTTCCTCCCGACAGCCAAACCAATGTAACCCAATTGGGGAGTGGGAGACCACAAGAGGAAGGAGGCGAGGACACGGTGCTGTCTTTAGCACCATTTACACCCCACGGTTATGTCTAAATATACCTGCAATGGGGCCCAAAAAGAGGAGGTGGTAGTGGACGGAAGAGCCGTTGCAAAAGGAGGCTCGAGGTTCAATACAGGAAGTGGGAGAAATCTTGGGTGCATCTACACAGGACGATTAATGCAGCTTGACCTTACTTAAACTGCAGTGGGATCCTGGGATTTAGTGTGGTATCGGCCCTTTTGGCAGAGAAGGCTCAAGGCCTTGTGAAACTGCAACTCCCAGGATTCCATAGTCTTGAGCCATGACAGTTCAATTGCATTAACTCAGCAGTGTAGGTTGGGCATGGGCAAACTTTTTAACTTGGGGGCCGCTTGGTGGGCCGGAAAAGGGTGGGTGGACCGAAAGGGAGGAAGGGGTTTCTCCCCAACTCTTTCTTCCCCTTCCCCTTCTCTTTCGAAGGGCACCACAATTGAAGAGAGATATTGACAAGCAGGAATGTGCCCAGAGGAGGGTGACTAAAATGATCAAGGGTCTGGAGAACAAGCCCTATGTGGAGCGGCTTAAAGAGCTGAGCATGTTTAGCCTGAAGAAGACAAGGCTGAGAGGAGACATGATAGCCGTGTATAAATATGTGAGAGGAAATTATAGGGAGAAGGGAACAAGCTTGTTTTCTGCTTCCCTGGAGACTAGGACTTGGAACAATGGCTTCAAACTACAAGAAAGAAGATTCCATCTAAACATGAGGAAGAACATCCTGACTGTGAGAACTGTTCAGCAGTGGAACTCTCTGCCCTGGAGTGCGGTAGAGGCTCCTTCTTTGGGGGCTCTGAAACAGAGGCTGGATGGCTATCTGTTGGGGTGCTTTGAATGAGATTGCCAATGGGAACAGCATGGTGTTTTGAACTGTAACTCCGTCCTGCCACAGGCATGTTGAGGAATGCTGGGAGATACAGTGAATGACCTGCAAATGAGCCCTGCAGATGCTTCTTTCTACAGAACCAAGAGCAGAACAGCCCTGTCCTTTTGAAACAGGAAGGCTTTATGGCCTTTCTGCTATCAGAAACAGGAGATGACCAAGTGGCACTTTGCCAACAGCCAGCTGGACACAAACATATGTCTCTTTGCAGACCCCATGGGATGGGTTTGCCAGGAAGGAAGCCAACTCCTGGCCCTGATGGGTGGGGAAACTGAGGAAGGATTTGGGGGAAGGACTCTGAAAGCAGAAAGGGGTGGAAGAAAAGGAAGAACTTGCAGCAAGCCAGGAAGGGTGGGGAGTTTTCTGGTTGTTGTCCAAGGCTTTCGGGCCGGAATCACTGGGTTGCGGTGGGCTTTTCAGGCTGTATGTCCATGTTCCAGCAACATTCTCTCGTTATGTTTTGCCTATATCAGTGGCTAATGGCATCTCCAGAGGGTCTGTTGGCATGAAGCAAGTGGAGTGTATATATATCTGTGGGAAATCCAGGTTGGGGGGAAAGAACCCATGGCTATTTAAAGCAAGTGTGAATGTTGTAGTTAGTAATCCTAAATTAGCATATGAGTAGCCATGAAGTTTGCAAAGTTAATCAGTGGGGGTCTCTACAGAGAGGTGGCCTGGCCTCTGTTGCCTGGAGGCATCCTCTGTTTTGGAGGTGTTAAATAATAATAATAATAATAATAATAATAATAATAATAATAATAATTGATGATGATGATGATGGTAAAGGTTTCCCATTGACATTAAGTCCAGCTGTGTCCGATTCTGGGGGTTAGCGCTCATATCCATTTCTAAGCCAAAGAACTGGCATTGTCCATAGATGCCTCCAAGGTCATGTGGCCAGCATGACTGCATGGAGTGCTGTTACCTTCCCGCTAAGGCGGTACCTATTGATCTACTCACATTTGCATGTTTTCAAACTGCTAGGTTGGCAGAAACTGGAGCTAACAACAAGAGCTCACTCTGCTCCTCAGATRTGAACCACCGACCTTTTGGTCAGCAAGTTCAGCAGCTCAGTGCTTTAACAGACTCCGCCACCAGGGGCTCCCAATAATAATAATAATAATAATAATAATAATAATAATAATAATAATAAGAAGAAGAAGAAGAAGAAGAAGAAGAAGAAGAAGAAGAAGTAGAAGAATTTATTTTATTAATTATTATATTATTAATACAATAT